CCTTGGTCTGTGGCGACCACATGGAAGTCGAAGGTCTTCAGGACCTCATAGTCCAGCGCTCTGAGAGCGAACAGCTGTCCATTGTCAGCATTGATGGAGATGAGAGAGGAGAGGACCAGCTGTGGGTTGTGGGTGGGCAGCAGTGAGTAGGTGATGTGGGCATTGGAGCCTGAGTCTGAGTCTGTGGCACTGATGGTGCCTATGTGCAGGGCAGGGCTGTTGTTCTCCTGGACAAACAGGGTGTAGGAGGTTTGTGTGAAGGCAGGGGCGTTGTCATTGACATCGGACACCTGCACTGTTATGGTGTGGTGTGTTGTGAGCCTGGGTGTGCCCATGTCGGTGACTGTGATGGTGATGTTGTATTCAGCTCTGTTCTCTCTGTCCAGGGGTCCCTCTGCCACTAAAGTGTAATAGTTCTTAAATGTTGGTTTTAAAAGAAATGGAAGGTCATTTGGAATAGAACACACCATTCTTCCATTGTCCCCAGAATCTGGGTCAGAAACACGGAAAACAGCAACCACAGTTTCAGGAGCATTTTCTGGGATGGAACTAGTGAGCGAGGATATGGTGAGTTTAGGGGCGTTGTCATTCACATCCACCACCTGTATAGCTACAGTACATTTTCCTGTAAGACCTCCACTATCTGTAGCTACAATTTCCATGTTATAATATGGAGTTGCCTCAAAATCCAGTACCCTTTTAAGACTAATTTCTCCTGTAACTTCATCTATTACAAATGGTTGAGAAACTCCACCATCTTGAAACAGAGAGTAGGCTACATTCCCATTTATTCCAGCATCTAAATCCCTGGCAGAGACCGTCAATACTAAGGCATTGAGAGGGCTGTTTTCAGGGACCTGCACCTCATAGAGCGACTGTAGAAACTGGGGGGCGTTATCATTGATGTCCACGACTTCAATGCGAACTATGGTGGTCCCAGACCTGGGTGGAGATCCACCATCCAAAGCAGTGAGGGTTAAAGTGAGCTCAGGCTGCTCCTCTCTGTCCAGGGCTCTGTCCAGCACCAGCTCTGGGTATTTCCTGCCATCAGCGCGACTCTGAGTAACCACATGGAAATGGAGGTTGGGGCTGACTGTGTAGTTCTGAACAGCATTGCTCCCTATGTCAGAGTCCTGAGCCGCCTTCAGAGGAAACACAGTCCCTGGCTGGGCGCTTTCTTGGATTTTTAGGAGCATTTCCCTGTGAGGGAACTCTGGAGCATGGTCGTTTATGTCTGTGATCTGCAGGTCAGTTTGGAAGAACTGCACAGGGTTTTCCAGAATGAGCTGGAAATGCAGCACACAGGGGTCTGTCACCCCACACAGCTCCTCACGATCTGGTTTTTCCCTCAGGAGCAAATTCCCGGTCTCAGCATCCAGCTGCAAGAGCTCTTTGTTCCCATTGTGTTGGATTTGCGTCCCTCTGGTGGCCAGTTCCCCCACCCTGAGCCCCAGATCTTTGGCCAGGTTAGCCACCAAGTAGCCACTCTCTGTTTCTTCTGGCATGGAATATCTAATTGCCTCAGAATCAGCCTCCCACAAAAGCAGCAATATAGTAAGTAAAATGACTTGCCTTTTCTCTGGCGTTTTTGCTAGAGCTGTCTCCATTGTTCAGATGCAGTCCGGAGGGCGCTGCTTCTTCTAAATCTTGTCGGTTTTAGTCCACACAGACAAGGTTTGGTGAAATAATCTCAAATTAAATCTTACTAAATTGCTTTTGGAGTCTTTTCCTTTAGATCTCAGGCAAATGTCCCCCTCCCTCTTCTTTTAGAGAACATTCAGGATTCTGATTTCTGGGAATGGCGTCCTTGGGCATCCTGGGAGCCTTGTTAAACAAATTGTTAGTCTGCAGCGCCACCTTGCGAACTTTTCTAGTGTTGCATGTAGTGTTGTCTTCATTCTCAGCTCCAGCCCTGCTGTGTTTAAACACCCTTTCAGATACAGAAGTGTCCTCCATTGTATCTTCAGTTCTTAGCAACCAGAAGGTCTAATACATTCACTTTGTTAATTTTCAGTGAACATAACTTTTTATATGATCAAAATGGTATATTGATCAAAAGACATTTTGAATACATAAATTCAATGTAATTAATATCTGCAAAATATTTGAATATTCCCAAATTACTTTTCATTGAAATGTTATAAACATATAAAATCAGGCACTATTTTTAGATGTACATAACAAAAAAATCACCAAGTTAGTATAGTTCAGTAATCAGAATCTAGATGAATAAATAGCACGTACCTAAATAAATAATGTTCCTCCTGCCATTTATTAGTTACTTCTCTCATCCTAGGCACTACATTGACTTTTATTGACAGCATATTTTGCCTTTCTTAGAACTTTTGTAATGTAGTGACAGTAGAGTATCTCTCTGTCGTAGGCTCGTTTATCACTGTCATTTTCTTTGGTAAGCTGATCTGTGCTATGCTCTTTTCATTGTTTATCATTCTGCTATATGCTTGTGTTATTATTTTTTTGCATATACACCAGATAAGGGACACTTGGGGTCTCTAGGTTTCAGTTTACTCATTGTTTGTTTGGTTTGGTAGTTTGTTTTTTGAGAAAGAATCTCTCTACATTGCCCCAGTTGTCTTGGAACTCTCTACATAGACCAGACTGAATTTGAACTCACAGAACTGCCTGCCTCTGCCTCCCAAGTATTGGTATTTGGTGCATATGCCACCACTTTGAATTTTCAGTGTTACTCCTGTGAACATTTCTTCACATGTCCTGTGTATAAAATAAGCATACATCACGTGTCAGGGCTGTTTGTTGTGCATCCAAGTGTGAAAATACATCTAGCCTTGGCAAACACTGGGAAGTAGTTTTCAAAAGTAGTTGTACTGAGCTGCCCCTGGTGGCTCATCCTTATAGCCCCATCTCTGGGAGGACACACATGGGGTATCACTCAAGCTCAAGACCAGCGTGGGATATATAGTGAGTCACTGTCTCAAAGACATTTCTTTAAAAGCTGGGGATAAAGATGCAGCTCAATCATAGAACGCTTACCTAGTGCACTCAGTGGATTGGATTCCACTTCCAGCAGTGTGAAAGAGGAATTCCAGCAATGCATGGGAATTCCAGTTGCTCCATAATCTTGTCAACATTTGATGCTGTCTTTCCAGTTTTAACTACTCTAGTAAGTATGGATGTTATAGTGTACATTTAATTAGCATTTCCCTGGTGATTAATGAAATGATGCAAACTTTCACATGTTTATTGGCCATTCAGATGCATTCTCAAGATGAGGTCTTTTAGACATTTTCTATCTGAGGCATTTATCTGATGGCTTGTTGGTCTGCAGAAGAATTTATATTCTTAGTATAATGTTAGTTTTGCATATGCATATTGCAAATACTTTTCCCATTCTATGCCTTCTATTTTAACCTTCTTATGGTGTCTTTGAGAAACAAATTTAGTAATTTTGCCTTAGCCTGATTTGTCAATATTTTCCATTTCTGAGTAACACTTTTCTCCTATTTAAATCTTTCCATTCTCGAGGTCATGGAAATTCTTGTGTATTTTGAATAATTGTTTTATTTTTTTCACATTTAAAGGTATAATCAATGTAAACTTTCGAGTGCATAAAATTTGGGTCCATAGTTTCCCAGGTGGCTTTGCATTCTGGACTGAAAAGATGATCATTGTTTCTGAGTTGTCACAAATGGCATAAGTCAGATGATCATGAATCAGCTCAAAGATTCCATTTGTCTTTAAGTATCAAATAATAATGCAATGTTTTCTTAATTCTCATAACTCCATAAAAGATTTTATTATCTTCAGGATAAGTTTTCCTCTGAAAAGATGAGTTTTAAGGAATTTTAAATCCACGGAAAAAAATATTAAAGACACTGAGAATCTCCACAGCTGGGCACAATCTTCCTTCCTTTCATCCCCTCCAGAGAGGTACATTTTTTATAACTGCTTGAGCTTCAGTATTAACACATATTTTCCAAGTCCATCACTTTAGTTGGGATCCCCTTTATGTACTCTATACTATAGATTTGGGTTAATTCATTATGACATGCATCCATTTTAGAGTACCACAAAATAGCTCCCCTGACCCCAAATCTTCAAAATCTATTTATTTAATCTTCCTCTCTCTTTTCTGAAATCTAGAAATCATATTTTTTTTTGTTTTGGTTTCTCAAGACAGGGTTTCCTCTGTGTAACTTTGGCTGTCCTGGAACTCACTCTGTAGACCAGGCTGGCCTCGAACTCAGAGATCCACCTGCCTCTGCCTCCTGAGTGCTGGGGTTAAGGGTGTGTGTCACCACCACCTGGTTCATTTATCTTTTTACTGTCTGCATGCTTTGACCTTTTCAAAATGTTATATATTAAGAGTTTTCCAGCTTTGCTTCTGTGATGAATATGTGTTTAAGTTTTCTCAATGCCTCTTCATGGATTGATAGCTCATTTCACTTGGTATTGAATAATATTCCATCTTGTGATTGCATCAGACTTTCTCAGTTTCATTTACTGAAGGATCTTGGTCACTGCCAGAGTTTGACAAGCATTGTAAAAAGTTGCAATAAATACCCCATCCTGAGTTTTGTGTGGACTTAACTTTTATGCTAATTTGATAAACACACACCAAAAAAGATTGCTGGGTGATGTAATAAGAATGTGCTTGGTTTGGCAAGAAACTGCCAAGCTATCTTCTAAAATGGTGGTGCCATTTTCATTCCCACGGTCCGTGAATAAGAGTTCTCGGTGCTTCATGTCTTCCTCAGCTGTTGGTGGTGTCAGTGTCCTGGGGTCTGGCTATTCTGCACTATTGTGGTATAGTGGTGTCTCATTGTTATTTGAACTTACATTTGCCTAATGACATCAATATGAAGTCTCTTCCCATGTGTTCATTCACCATCTCTGAGTCTTGTTTGGTAAGTATTAGGATCTTTGGCACATCTTTTACATTATATTGTTTTCTCAATGCTGAGTGTTGAAAACCTTTGTATACTTTGGATGGCTGTCTTTTATCAAACATCTCCATTGGCAGCATTTTCTCCTGGTCTATGACTTGTTTTTGTTTTTTGTTACATTTTTAAATTTTTCTTTGTAGAATCTTTTGCAGAGCAGAGATTTTAATTTGAATGAAATCTGCATCATCAATTCTCTTCCATGGATTATACTATTGTTATAGTATATTCAGTTTTATTTTGGATTTATTTGCTTTATTATTTTCCCTTTGTATATGAATACAAAGTATATATCCAGCTCATCAAATTCACAAATAATGTTGAAATTTTGCTTAAGATTTTATGATTTCTATTGATTGACTGAAAGACAAACAACATTTCAATCACAGTCTTCCCTTAGACTATTGTGCACTCTTCAATTTGTTTAAATCTTTACATTTTTCTAAATAATGTTTGACATTCCTGCTTTACAACTCTCTCATTAGATTTGTTTTAAGAATTTATATATTTGGAAGTCATTTTAAATGCTTTTAAATTTTTTCACTTTTTTTTTCATTTAAAGAGAACTCATACATGTTGTTGACTTTGCATCTACTGCCATTCCTGAATTCACTTATCACTTCTGATTGCAGTGTCTTCGTGGTCTTTATGTATATAATTGCATCATTTAAAAATATAATTTTATTCCTTCTGTTGTGGCTTTTAATTCTTTGCTTTATTCCTCTGGTTGAGACTAGTTGTATAAGCTTGGTAATAGCCAGGATGGGCATTCTTGTCCATTGTTGATTGCCAGTAGAAAATTTTCAATAATTTACTTTTAGTGATATTTGCTATAGATGTATTTGTTTAGTTTTTCCAAGATAGGGTTCTACTGTGCAGCCTGCACTGTCTGGAACTTCCTACATAGGCCAGATTGATCTTGAACTCACAGAGATCTACCTGCCTCTGCCTACTGAAATTAAAAGCATGTGCCACCACACTTGGCTACTGTTTATTTTTGAACATACTCAAAATTCCACATTCACTTGCTAACATTTTTCCCTTAATATGTGATGAATTTTGTTGCATAAATTTTTCTGTACCCATTGAGGTTATTGTGTTTCTCCTTTATCTATGGCTGTGGTGCATTACAGTGGTCAAATTCAAATACTGAACTGCATTGCATTAGAAATAGTAATTCATTATTTTTTCTCTTAAACATATCTGAATTTCATTGCCTTAAAAAAGAAAAAGTTTGTTTTGTCATTTCTTTCTTACACTGTCCTTTTGAAGTTTGGATGTCATAATCCATTCAGAGTTGCTGGTACCCAGCTGATTTGTGATATGTTGACTACTTTTAGAAATTTATACATTTGTATGAGTTCTCATATGAATGTTGGTAATAATTCAACATGTGTTATGGACTTGATAATACCTCTATCTAATAGATATGATTGATCAGATTTTAGATTTTCTTCAGTTTTGAATTTTAAATGGCATTTTATGTTAATTATCAAATGCAACAATATTTTTCCTTATAACTTCTTGACAGTTTGGTTTATTAAAGATTAACAAAAGCAAAAATAAAAGTATTGTGTGTGGAAAAACATGATAACCTGATCAAAGAGAGCCATGGCCCATGAGTTCACATGATTTCATCACTTCAATGCATTCACATTTTATTTTTTATGAAATACCATGCACACATTCAACATACACACACACTTCTTATGCAGTGTGCTTCTTGACTCTACATCATTAGCACAAGTGAGATAGAAATAGAGGGATGAGAAAGTGAGAAAGAACAAGAGTGAGAGCAAAGATGGCAGGGAGGAGAAGAAAGGTAGTCACAGCAGAGATGTGTGAATATGAAAAAGTCATAGGAAAGGAGTGACTTCCTCAGGAATCTGCTCTCGTTGCACTGAGACTAACGAGCAAACTAGAGGAGCGAGCAGCCAAGGCTAGCGATAGTAATTCCTCACACTAAACCTATGATAACTGGAAAGTAGATGAAATAGATGAGGGTGTAATTTATCTGATACGTTTGCATACGTACATTATGTAGGAGCGTGTGTATATATGACTTCTCCATCATGAAGGTGTGGTAATCTCTGTGCTTTATATCTAAAGGAACCAACGGAGAATTGAGAGATGGGAACTCAATCCCAAGGCGAATATAAAAATTACATGAGGTCTTTCATTGTGAAAACTAATGAAGCTAGAAATATATTATCATTGAAACAATTTATAAGCATAACTTTTAGATCTCTGTACATCTTTGTTGGGTAAAAGACTCGGGTAAGCTGAGATGACATAGAGACAATCTGCTGGCACAGCAGGGGGAAATAAAAATGAAAAGTCAACATGCATGGAGAATAGAATGAGAACCTCAAAAAATACAGTTTCCAGGAAGAAATAATAAAGAGGAGGAAGAAAACACAACATTCAAATAGAAAACTGTTTACTTTTCCTAAAAGTAGATTTAGTTTTCTCATAAAATATCCTTAAGTATAAAGAAATATGTAATATAGTTGTGTGAAGAGAAAGACAGTTCAAAGAAAGAGAAAATCTTAAAAGGCTTCTCTCAAGACACAAAATATGTCCATGAATTAATGATCAGAAGGAAAAGGAGTAAGACTATTAGCTAATAGGCTTAGAAAACCAA